GTTTTGCCAAAATGGACATCGTGTGCCTGTCCAATTGCCCTCTAATAAGTTTTTGCCCAAAGACTAGTGCTGCTATCAGCTTTGGTCAGAGCAGCTTCTTTTTCAGTGCGTAGTGGTTAATGTTGGGACTTATAACTGGTCAATGTGAAGAGAATATGTGCTTGTTGAATGAGCATCCCTAGGATGGGGTATCAATATCACTTCCTCTAAGGCTCAGGGAATACTGTGGTAGGAGTGGAGAGAATGTAAGGGCCAGATGAAAGGGTGGAGTGTTGTGGAATGCTGTCTTCCAGGTAGGACATGGCCACTACACCCTCGAATGCTCAGCAGCTGTGATCACCTGCACAAGGCTTGCAGCAATTGGGTCCATCAGCATTCCTTCATGGAGGCTCCCCTCCAAGGATCTACAGGGAGTTAATGATAGCTGGACAAGGGAGAGACACTTCCTCTGTGATGTTGCCACTAGTAAGATGCCTGTTCTGTAATTGACCTCTTACCTATATTACTGTAAGTAGCCCTTGAAACTCATTAAGTACATACACACACAAACAAAAACAAAAACAAAAACAAAAACAAAACAAAACAAAAAAACCGTGAGCATAGAAAGGGGATTAGCTGGGAAGAAGAAGATCCATGGGAGTGGAAAGGAAGAGAACAGAGCATAATGGATAGTGAATCAAACTACATTATTTACAGGCTGGAGAGATGGTTCAGCAGCCAATAACACTGGCTACTCTTCCAGAATACCAGGGTTCTATTGTTATCACCCACATGGTGGCTCCTAACTGTAGGTAATTCCAGTTCTAGGGGATCTGATGCCCTCTTCTGACCTTCACAGTACTAGGTACACATGTAGTGAACAGACACACATTTAGGCAAAACAGCCATATGAATAACATTTAAAAACCTATATACATGCATGAAAGTATCATAATAAAACCATATGTATAAGTATGTTCATATTATTTTGATATATAATTTATGCTAATAAAACAAAAGAAGGCTGGAGAGATGGCTCAGATACTTAAGGACACATGGTGGGTGTGGTAGGAGGCAGAGGCAAAGCCAGGTGAATTTCTCTGAGTTCAAGCTCAGCCTGGTCTGTATAGAGAGTTCCAGGATAGCCAGGGCTACAGAGACCCTGTCTCAAAACAGAAAATTTTCAAAAGATTATTATAGAGTTATACTGAGCGTGGTGGAGTATGTATGCAATTCAGCATTCAGGAGGCCAAGGCAGGAAGTTTCATGCCAGCGTAAGCTACACAGCAATACCTAGTCTCAAAATAACAATACAAGAGCAGGGGGTTGGTAAGTGGTTACGTTCATTTTCTGAGATATGGCGAACATCAACTTTACCAATTACATCATGCCATTTTAGATAGCAGAACATCTAGGCAGCATCTTGACTAAAGATGGGAAGATTTTTTTGTTTTGTTTTTCAATATAGGGTTTCTCTGTGTAATATTGGTTGTCCCGGAACTCACTCTGTAGACAAGTCGGGCCTTGAACTCATAGAGATCTGAGAGTGCTGGGATTAAAGGCGTGTGCCACCACCACCTAGCTTTTTAAAAAATAGTAATTTATTTTTATCTTATGTGCATTGGTGTTTTGCATGTATGTATGTCCCCTAAAACTGGAGTTACAGTTGTGAGCCACCATGTGGATGCTAGGAATTGAACCCGGGTCCTCTGGAAGAGTTGCTCTGGAAGGGTACCTGATCTGGCTTAGCAGGTAAAGGTGTCTGCTGATAAGAGTTCTATTCCCAGACCCCCGTGAGGGATGGAGAGAGCCAACTTCTACAAGTTGTCATTTGTCTCCTCTTATCCCACATGCTCACACACACACACACACACACACACACACACACACACACACACACACACAAATAAATAAATTTATTTAAAAAGGAAAATAAGCCAGGTGGTGGTGGTGCACACCTTTGATCCTAGCACTCAGGAAGCAGAGGCAGGATCTCTGTAAGTTCAAGGCCACGGAGAGAGTCCCAGGACAGCCAGGGCTACAAAGGAAAATAAAGAGCCCTAGAAGACACCAATTCTGTCCTTTGGATGGAGCTTGGCATGGCTTACCTTGGAGAACATCCTTACCTGTCACTTGTCGCCTGTTACCAGGAGCCCTAGCTTCATTGAAATATGGCCAGGAAGGTACACTGTCCTTGGGTTACCTATTTTAGCAGAGCTTTTGGGTGAACTGTTCCTCAATGAAGATAAGGATCAGTCACTGTTCTGTTGCTGTGAAGAGACACCACGACCAAAGGCAACTCTTACAGAAAGGTTTTAACTGGGGGCTTGCTTACAGTTTTGGAGGGCTAGTCCATTACCATCATGGTGGGAAGCAGACAGGCACAGTGCTGGAACAGTAGCTGAGGGTTTTAGGAACTGATGTGTAGATAGCAGGAGGCAAGATTGGGTCTGGTATGGGCTTTTGAAATATCAAAGTCCACCCCAATGACACACATCCTCCAACAAGGCCACACCTCCTCCAATAAGAACAGATCTTCAAATCCTTTCCAAACAGTTCCAGGAAGTGAGATGAGGCTGTAACCCTTATAGCCTGTCGCCAGGGGCATATTTCTTCCAGCAAGGCCCCACCTCATAAAAGTTCCATAAACTTCCAAACAGTGAGCGCTATTAGCTGAGACCGAGAGTTCAAATACATGATCCTATGGTGATAATTCTCATTTACACTCCCAAGAAGCTAAAATAAAATACACACACCATAAATTCTGTATTGTTTTATAGTATATTTTAAAAATGACAGTAACAATGCACTCTCTTACTAGGGAGTGATACATCCTTTGTCACTGAATAGGGCCTTAAAGAGTAACAGTGTTTTGTTCAAACAGAACTTATAATTGCACAAAAGTCATACAAAGCATTAAGAAATGTTGACCAAGACTGCAGTTTCTGGATTCTGGTGGGTGTATACCCTGTGGGTCTGAAGTCCAGTGGTGACCCCTGGACCCATACTTTTGACTGATAGTCAAAGCTCCTCAGTGGCCATAGGAGGAAGAAGTCCAGAACCCATGAGCCCTGTGACCACAGGATTCTGTCACAGTGCTGGGAGTTAATGATGTTCATCACCATCACCTTTTCATCACCCCAGGAACATGTGAAAACTTGTCAGTTTAAAGAAGATTTACCAGGTTTAAAACTTACACAGTCTACTAAGGTTTGGGCCTTAGATGCCACTTCAGGAAGTTAAGAATAAAAACCACTAGCCACACTGTAAAAACCTCTCTGTGCAGTGTTCTTTATGACACCAGCAGCTTGGGCACCCATTTAAATTTCTTTTCTTTCTTTTCTTTTCTTTTTTTTTTCTTTTTTTTTCTTTTTGAGACAGGGTCTCTCCTGGAACTTGCTATGTAGACCAGGCTATCCTCGAACTCAGAGATCCGCCTGCCTCTGTCTCCCGAGTGCTGGGATTAAAGGCATGCACCACCACTGCCTGGCTTAATAAATGATGCTTTCATTTATTGTCTTCTAGTCAGTGGTGGCGATGGGTCCAACTCAAATCCCAAGTCAGTTTAATTGGCAGGAGTTTCTGGGAACAGTGTGATAGAGGAGGCTGGGATACCATCTGGACGGGGAACTCACTCTGCTTTACTTATGGCCTGAGCTGGCAGGACCCGGACTTTCTACTTACAGTCTCTGCATTACTATCACATTCATTTTTGAAACAGGGTCTCACTCTGTAGCCCAGGCTAGTCTGGAACTCACAGCAATCCCCTGCTTCAGTCCTTTAAGTGCTGTGATGATGGGGTAAACTACTATGCCTGGGTACCGTCTGTCTGTATTATGTGCACACTCAGATTGAAAAGAAGTTAACACACTAGCTCTTAGGGCTTCCCTCTATCGCATGAGCTTTTGAATAAAGCGCCTGCATTAATCCAGCCCTCCTGCTTACCATGCAGCTGTGTCGTACAACTGAGCCTCATGCTATGTTTGGACTCTTAGCCATTGCCATGCCATCCCTAGCTTAGAGTAAGGAGTGGACCACATGGTGCACGCCTTTAATCTCAGCACTCCAGAGGCAGAGGCAGGCGGATCTCTGTGAGTTTGAGGCCAGCCTGGTCTATAGAGTGAGTTTCAGGACAGCCAGGGCTGTCACACAGAGAAACCCTGTCTAGAAAAACCAAAACCAAAACCAAAAGCAAACTAAACCAAAACAAAACAAAAAGTAGACCATAGGGTTTTCACAACTACCATGAGTGGATTTTATTTTTATTGGCAGTAGAGGTATACAGTACTACAAGAGATTGTAGCACTATTTTTGTTTTGTTTTGATTTTTTTTGACAGGGTCTCATCGTATTGCTATGGCTGGCTTGTAACCTGCTATATGGACCAGGCTGGTCTGGGGCATGAACTTGTGACAATCTTGCCTCTGCCTTTAGAATACTGAAATTACAGGCACTAGCCATTATGCCCAGACTGAGTCCTATCATGATGATTTTGACAATAAATACTGCAAGTAGCTGTGTGGATCAGTTCAAAAGAACCTATAAAGGGCCGGGGAGGTGGTGGCTCATGCCTTTAATCCCAGCAGGGGGGCAGATCTCTCTGAGTTCGAGGCCAGCCTGGTCTACAGAGAGAGTTCCAGGACAGCCAGGGTTACACAGAGAAATCCTGTCTTGAAAAACCAACCAACCAACCAAACCACAAAAACCATAAAGGTGGCGAGGGTACAGGAAGATGGATAGTTTGAGTCCAGCCTGAGCTATATTAAGAGCCTGTCACAAAGGAAAGCAACTGATGAAGGATCTAAGGCACACAATGACATTTTGTCTAAGAAGAACCTATGAAGGACAGGAAGGTGAATGTTTGAAAAAGAATCCCCTTTAAATTGAAGAAAACAGAGCTCAAGGCCTGGATCTGTGGGGACACAGAGACTTTTCCTTCTCTTTCATCTTCTTCTTTAGAAGAACCTGGGCACTTTCTAGGTGCTAGGCAACCGAATGGCAAGAAAGATCAAGATTCTTGTTGGGTGGCTGGTGTTGCTGTCCTGTTTCTGAATGGAAAGACTGCAGGACATCCGTGTTTCCTGAGCCTGAGAGGTCCCACTTGATGTGAAAAAATTGGCTGGGGAGGCAGAGATCATGGAAGATAAGTACTGGCCACTTGGAACACTGAAACGTAGCTTTTAGCATAGGCAGAGACTTTGGTGAAGAATAAAAATACAGGCATCACACAAGCATCTTAGGATAGGATGTGGATCTCAGCACAAGAGCAGGAAGAGAAGAACTTGAAGAGGAGATTTTTTTTGCTGAAATGTGTTAACTGGAATGCATGGGTACACACAACCAAAACCGTATTTTATATCCACATGTTAAACTTTCTGGATCATTAACTTTTCAAAATTAATGTTGCTAAAGTCCTAGTAACAGACTGCTTCAGAGTTTACCATTTCAGATTTACATCTACTTAACATGAAAATGTCCTCATATCCAGGGACATCCATCATACAGTTGTGCACTCCCCATGGAACCTGGGTCTAATCCCCCAGAGACACTGACTGAACACACAGGCAGGGATGCCAGTCTTGGATCTGAGATGTAACGGCTCCAGTGGTGGTCAAGAGGTCCTGCTGCAGATTTGTTCAATGTCACTCATCTCTTTGGGACAATCTGCAGAAAGGATCAGAGGTGAGTCCTGAGTCACCACGACATCATCCTCAATCCGCACTCCGAGACCTCGAAACTTCTCTGGTGCATCTCTGTCATCCTCTGGAATATAAATGCCTAAGGAAGAGAGAGAAGGGCTGTGACCAGTGACAGTAACCAGTGGATCAGAAGCAAGTTCACCTGTTACAATTCCCCCATCTGTCTCTGACAGATACTCACTGCACTTACCTTAGAGCTGTGAGAACTAAATGAAGTACTGCACATAGCAGAGCTGTGCACATGAAGCTCAGTCAAGGTGGAACCCACTAGCTAGGATTACTACTGTTACAGCCATTTTTTTTTAGTAGACTACAAACTGTATTCAACTACGATGATACCATGTAATTCTGTCATGGTCTAATGGTTTAAGAAAGTCACTAATTTACAAATATGTTATATATATTAGGAACTAGCAGATTATATAAATGTATAGCTTCCCTTGATAAAAATCCTCTGAAGAAAGGCTATTGGATTAAAATATAGTATGAAGTCAGCTGTGGTGGCACACACATGAACTTAGGTAGACTATCTGGGCTACATAATGAGTTAAAGGCCAGCCTACAACAAACAGTTATGTCTTGTCTCAAAGGCAACAACAACAAAACAAAAACCAAAACGAAGTAAAAAAACATAAAGTGTATTAAAACATATTTAAGCTGGGTGGTGGTGGTGCACATACTTAGGAGGCAGAGGCAGGTGGATCTCTGTGAGTTTGAGGCCAGCCTGGTCTACGACAAAGTGAGTTTCAGGACAGGCTCCAAAAGCTACACAGAGAAACCCTGTCTTGAAAAACCAGGACAGCCAGGACTATTACACAGACAACGCCCCTCTCCAAAACAAGAAAAACAAAAAACAAAAACCAAAACAAAAAAACAAAAAAAACCCAAACCAAACCAAAAACAAAACCAAAAATACCCCCCCCCCCAAATAAAAAAAAATTAGAGTTCCAGGACAGCCAGGACTATTACACAGATAAACCCTGTCTCCAAAACAAAACGAAACAAAAGAACCTGCAAACTTCTTCAGATACTCTGAAGCAACTGCAGCAGCCATTTCTAACCAGAACAGCCTCCAATGCTACAGCAAAACACAACTGACTGCTTTCACAGGCTAGTATAAAAAGACAGTTATTGCTGGGCGGTGGCGGTGGCGCATGCCTTTAATCCCAGTTCTAGGGAGGCAGAGGCAGGGGGATCTCTGTGAGTTCAAGGCCAGCCTGGTCTACAGAGTGAGTTCCAGGGCAGCTAGGACTGTTACATACAGAAACCCTGTCTCAAAGAAAAGCAAAAACAACAAAACAAAACAAAACAGAAAACCCTAAAAGACAAAAACCAAACCAAACAAATAAATGATGTAAAAAGACGTTTATCAGTCCTAACACACCCAATTTTCAAACGCTGGGTCCTGCTCTTATGATGCAAGCAGCATCGTTGTTTAAGCGGCCAGCTGTCCTCAGTCTCTGCACCCACTGTGGTCCCCACCTGACTCTTCCACTGCCCACTAGGCACTCACCTGAGGCAGTAACCGTGGGCTAACAGTGGGCAGTTCACTGGAGGTGGCCGGATGTCACAACCCACCACAACTAACTGTGACTATCACAAGTCGGCCCGGCAAAGGCAGGATTAACAAAGATTTATTTCTTATATCGACTTACAGAAAGGACTTGCCATCTGTTGTTTATTGGAGGAGTGAATTAAAGCGTGTGATCTTAAACAAGAAAACTCAAGACAAACCTAAGTATTTTATAGTCTGTAAATAAAAATAAGCAATGTATACTTGAGGGTTAACCTGTCCCTCACCTGGTTCAATTGTGATCACCATACCAGGCTGCAGAGGGAGTGAACGAGGCATGTCTGGAGTGTCATGGACATCCATTCCAAGGTAATGGCCAACATGATGAGGGCAGTATTTCCGAGCAGCCTGGAAAAGATAATTACCACAGTATTATTAGGGCACTGAGCTGGCATGGATAAACTGAAATTGATAAATCAGTGAGATGTGGTGTTAATAACTACCAGTTTCTGCCAGTTATATTTAAACTATCCTTGGACTAATGCATAAGAGACGTGACAAACTGCCACTTTTGGGGGGATGTAGTGTGGTGTGGTGTGGTGTGTGCACTTGTGTGCAGGTACACAGGCGCACGAGTGTGCCTATTGAAGCTGGAGTTGATGGTGGCTGTCTTCCTCTACAGAACTTCATCTTGTTTCTTTCTTTCCTTTCTTTTTTAAAAAAGACTTATTTAGCTGGGCAGTAGTGGCGCACGCCTTTAATCCCAGCACTCGGGAGGCAGAGGCAGGCGGATCTTTGTGAGTTCGAGGCCAGCCTGGTCTACCTAGTGAGTTCCAGGAAAGGCGCAAAGCTACACAGAGAAACCCTGTCTTGAAAAAAACAAACAAACAAACAAACAAAAAGACTTATTTATTTATTATGTACACAGTGGTCTGCCTGCATGTATGCCTCCTTGACAGAAAAGGGCATCAGATCTCATTACAGATGGTTGTGGCTCACCATGTGGGTATTGGGAATTGAACCCCGGGTCCTCTGGAAGAGCATCCAGTGCTCTTAACCTCTGAGCCATCTCTCCAGCCCCAGCTTGTTTCTTGATTGACAGGTTCGTTGCTGTGCTTTTGTGAGTGTACATGCCTAATGTACGGGGAGGGAAGAGCACAGCCTGTCTCTCCTCCTAGCATGTAGGTTCTGGGAATGAACTCAGGCCAGCAGGCTTGATGGCTCGTGACTTTATACATGGAACTCTATTGTCATTTCTGCACTTCCCCCCATCTTTTTTCTTGATGAACTTGCAGAGGTTTCCCAGAGGTTTCTATGGTCTCCACCACCCAGTGCTGGGATTATGGGAACAGGTTGCTGTGGCTAGTCTTTTTTTTTTTTTTTTTTTTTAAAAGAGACAGGGTTTCTCTGTGTAGTCCTGGCTGTCTTGGAAGGACGTCACTCTGCAGACCAGGATGACCTCGAACTCACCTGCCTCTGCCTCGGAGTGATGGAATTAAAGGCATGAGCCACTATTGCCCAGTCTTCTTTTCTTTTTTTTTGTTTTTTGAGACAGGGTTTCTCTGTGTAGCTTTGTGCCTTTCTTGGAACTCGCTTTGGAGACCAGGCTGGCCTTGAACTCACAGAGTTCTACCTGTCTCTGCCTCCCAAGTGCTGGGATTAAAGGTGTGTACCACCACCGCCCGGCTCAGTCTTCTTTTCTTGAAGAGTTACTTAATTTTACCAGCATGAGTGTTTGCCTGCATGCATGTATGTATACTTTGCATGCACTTAGTACCCTCAAAGGCCTGAAGAGGGTATCAGATCCCTTGGGACTGTAGTTACAGATGTTCCTGAGCCTCTATGTAACTTGGGTCCTCTGGAAGAGCAGCCAGTGCTCCCAACCTCTGGGTCATTTCTCCAGCCTCCACACCAACTTTTGTAAGTGGATGCTGGGGACTGGAATTTAGGTCCTCACACTTGCACTGGAAAGCACTGTACTCACTGAGCCAAGTCCACGCCTGGCAAACTGTTACGTCCTCTATGCAACTGTGCCATTAGCACACTTACTATACTGCCTCTCATCCCTCTGCTAAGTTTACTGAACACAGGCTAAGGAACAGCAATAACTGACAAAAGAAAACCGTTTCCGGCAAGAGGATAAAGCTCAGCAGTTTTTGCTGACCATATGCAGGTCTCCAGTTTGATCCTAGCACAGGGGAATCTCCTTTTTTGAGAAAGGGAAGACAGTAATGTTGTTATCCTTTCAAGTCATACAAGGAAGACATGCAGGGCAGTGGTGGCGCACGCCTTTAATCCTAGCACCTGGGAGGCGGAGACAGGGGATCTGTGAGTTCGAGGCCAGCTTGGTCTTCTACAAAGTGAGTTCCAGGACAGCTGGCACTGGTACATAGAAAAACCCTATCTCGGAAAACCAAACCAACCAATCAACCAACCAACCAAGCAAAGAAGGAAGATACAAACTCTGAGCACACACTTGGGTGGAGACAGGAGAATCAGGAGTTCAAGACCAGCCTAGGTTATGATGACCCCACCATCAATGACATAAAAAATAAGGTATAACTCACACATCTCTCTTGGGTAGCCTACTCTGGAAACTCTGAGTATACCACATCAAATTGTGGAATAGGCATGATTGTATATTCACTGGCTTAGATATTTCTACCAGTTAGTTAAATATTTGCTGGCTTGGCACAGGGAATTTATAACTTTTTTTTTCTGCTAATAGAAGTCCTGGAAGTCTCAACTTGGAGATAGAAGATGCCTAATGCTTGTGTGACTCAGATTTTTGCAATTATAACGAATACCATACATTTAGACACTGACAAAACCCATTAAAGATGTAGCCCTTCGGCATTTTGCTAAGTCTCAGTAATGTAACTGAACCAATAAACAGCCTCGCCTCTGACCTCCAGAGTCCCCAGGAAAGGTTTAGGAGTTAACCTTTTTCCTTGTCTGTGTTCCTTCCCGCCCTGCCTGGACAGACTTAATTTTTTGTTTTCTGAGCACTCACTTATGCTTTGGCACGCAACGACTCAGAATGTGCTGCCATCTTCTGGCAAAAATAAGGACCCGCCTCCTTTGTTTTAATCCACGGTAGAGCTATATCCATCTTACAAAGAACTGCAAAGACAGTGTCTAAGTCTGTCTTGTGTTACTAAGTGGGGCAACACTGGAGCAGCATGCTGGCCGTTCTCCAGGACTGGGTGGAGAGGAGGAGGTACCTTGAAGGCGCTTTCTTTGCTGCTCCTCACGATGCCCAGGTCCTTCAGCTTCTGTCCCATTAGTGTCATCATCACGCTGTAGATGTTCTCCAAGCTTGTCCCGGGAGAGCACAGTGTCAAACACGCTCTCTGGATCTCTAGAACAGCTTCATAGAGCTCCGCCTGAGGAGCGGTGAACCTACGGACAGGAAAGCAATGCGAGTCGGGTAGACGGGCCTGGCAGCAGCTGTTTCCCCAGCCCACCATCCTGCTGGCCCTTCCACAGTTGAAGGTGGAAGTTTACATCACTGATCTAAACCTTTTCCTCCTTTTTATTTCTTGTGTTACAGTTTGAACCCAAAACCTTGTGAATTTTAGGCAAGTACCTACCACTTTCCATTCCAGTTTAAACATTTAAAGTTTATCAATTTCTAAATTGGGCATGGTGGTACAGGACTAGTAATCCCAATACTCATTAGGTTGAGGCAGGAGGACTGTAAGTTTGAGGCCAGCCTGAGCTATACAGTAAATGTGCCAATAGTTTGGGTTACTAAGTGAGATCCTGCTTCAGCTATATTCCCCTAATATCTATATACAGTGTTTTCTTTTCTCTCTCTCTCTTTTTGTTGTTTTTTTGAGACAGTTTCTCTGTGTAGCCTTGGCTGTCCTGGAACTCTCTCTGTAGACCAGGCTGGTCTCGTCTATCTGCTGAGCCATCTCTCCAGCCCCTGATCTTTAACTCTTTATCCTTCTGCTTCGGCTCCCTGAGTCCTGGGTTTAGAAGTACAGCACCACATTGGTCTCATATTCAGTTTTCCAACTACTTGGCGATTTAAAAAGAGACCGTGTTTATTTTAAGTTATGTATGTGCGTGTTCATGGTTTGTGCATGTGAATGCAGTGCCTGACAAGGCCCCTGGAGCTGGACTTACAAGCAGTTGTGAGCTGCCTGACATGGGTCTTCTGGAAGAGGAGCAAGGACTCTTCATTACTGAGCCATCTTTCGACCTCTACTATTTGGAGACTCTAACATCTACCTGTAAACTGGGCATGGTGGCGCACGCCTTTAATCCCAGTACTGGAGAGGCAGAGGCAGGTGGATCTCCAAGTTAGAGGCCAGCCTGGTCTACAGAGTGAGATCTAGGACAGGCACCAAAACTACACAGAGAAACCCTGTCTCGAAAAACCAAACCAAACCAAACCAAAAGGGGAATATATATATATATATATATCACTATGATTTGTTTGGTCTGCAGCTAAATATCTCATGATCGCTGTGAACACTTGTCCTATACATTAACAAGACTGAATCGCCTACTGTACGGGCCCACCCATTTCTCTGCAGTCTTTTCCGTGTTCCTTTGTGTACGCTGGAGCTGTTTCAGGAGCCTGTGCACACAACCACTGTCACTGTCATCCACGCTCTGCTTTACTTCTGACCACACTCTTGTCCTCACGTCGATTTTGTTTGTATTAATGTCACTGTTTACTCTTGGTCTCAGCCAAAAGATCAAGAAGCCATACCATTTTAGCTTCCTTAGAGTTGATGTTTTCATGGAAATGTCTTTCTCCACCTTTTTATTTTCATGATTTAATAGTTTTTATTTAAAGTGATTTTTGTGCTGGGCAGTAGTAGTGCACAGATCTCTGTAGAGGAGGGCAGATCTCTGAGTTTGAGGCCAGTACGGTTTACAACAGAGTGAGTTCTAGAACAGGGCTATACAGAGAAACCTGCTCAAAAAAACAAAAACAAAAACAAAAAGGGGGTGTGTGCTTTTTGTCAAGAACAGTGGCAAATGCCTGTACTTCCTATACTCAGTTTGTTTTTTTTGAGACAGAGTCTTACTATGTAGCCCTGGAAGTTGCAGATAACCACCTCCTCTGCCTTCAAGGTTAACTGCAGGTGAAGTAAGGAAGATTGTGAGTTCAAGGTCAGCCTGAGCTACATAGT